GACTACCACAGGCAATAACAGATATTACTTGTTATATTATATTACGATCATGTAATCAGACCTTGGCCACCTTGTGGCTTAGCAAGGGCACAATAGAGTAATATCCAATCCAATCGAATAAGAACGCTGTCAGTATTCTGATTCAGTTCTGGTTCCAGCCAGAGTCTCATCAATGTGATCAGCCACCTCGGAGGTCAGCATACTTTTACTTGTAAGTCCACCTCAGCCTCTGTCAGCCTTGCTTTGTCATTGATTATGCCATCACCTCCCTTTGTTGTGACCATTTGTTCTTATTTTCTCATCTCTTGCCTCCTCCGGGCTCTTCCTTTGCATCTTCCCTAGCCTGACAGTTCCCTTTCTTTCCTTTTCTCTTCTATTCTATTGCTAACGTCTGCCAACAACTTAGATTTGAAGATCTAAAAGGAAAGTATCACTGAAGAGGTGCTATTTCATTTAGGTCCAGATCTTTGTATAACTAGAGGGCAAATCAGGTTAGTTCTGAAGATGGAAATATAAACCCAATGAGTGAATCACCTCAAGCCAGAATCTCAAGCATTGTGGTCAACTCAGTGTGGGGCTTCCACTGGTAGTATGGCTGAATATAAGGATTGTTAACTCTAGCTAAAAGATATGTGCTCATGACACATATATTTATAGAAGTGTATGTTGTTGTTAAGTGCCGTCGAGTCAGTTTCAACTCATAGCAACACTATAGGGTTTCTGAGGCTGTAAATCTTTGTAAGAGCTTATCTTTCTCCCATGCAGAAGCTGGTGGGCTCAAATTACCAACTTTGTGGTTTTCAGTCACCATGCTTGCCAGGATTATTGTTGTTGTTATGTGCCGTGGAGTCGGTTCTGATTTATAGCAACCCTGTACAGAGTTTCTGAGGCTGTAAATCTTTACGGGAGCAGAAAGCCTCATCTTTCTCACACGGAACAGCTGGTAGTTTCAAACTGATGACCGTGAGATTAGCAGCCCAATTCATAACCACTACGCTACCAGAGCTCCTTGCTTGCCAGGATACTCACCTCCAAATTACTGACTTATTCTACAAATCATTCTTCCCTACTAGGCAGTGACCTAACCGTCTGCAATAGGTGCTCGGGTTATTTATTGATTTGACCTTATCTTAATACTGAACCACCTAAAAAATGTCAAAAATAATGACTATTCAAATTTAGAATTGCTGCTTGGGTATACTATTTCTCCCAGTGACCAGGAGTGATTTATCTGTGAGATGTTTTTTTCTCCCCCTGCTTCTAAGCTAGGAAACATTCATATATCTCATATCTGTCTCATAAGATGAAATTTATATTCATGTAAGGTTTTAAATGGTCTGAATAAAGTAATTTGTGTCTCATGGTCAGACTTGAAAACAGTCTGTAGATGATTTATATGTAAGAGGAAATCATCCAAACAGACAATGGAATTAAGTGGACATGGATAGAATATGATGATGTGTCTCTCACAGGCAGATACTTACAAATATAAAATGTATGGTGTTTCTCAGGGAGCTGCTTGGTCTGCTGATTATAGCTGCCTGGATGAGCCTATGCCATAGTTCATCAAGGTAAGTCTTCAACTCATTGATAAAAATTAAATGTCCTCAAAGTTGGTAGAATCAGATGGGTAAAGTGAAAAAGTGGACATACAAATGAAAAACAAGAATCTTTTTAAATAAATTTTTTCTCTCTCTAGAATGTGAAGAATAGTTGAATCTAATTTTCATAATCACTGATACTTTCATAAATATCATCGTTTCCCTCGTGGCCTGGTATAGTCATAGGGAGCTATCTCCCAAGGAGTGTTCTTCAAGGAGAATGAAACCCATTTCAGAAAGAAAAGAGCAAAGGAAACAGAAAAGTGTGGCTCATTATAAATGGATGTTAACTTATAGAACGATAATAATTTTGAGGTTTATAAATATATCAAATTAAAATAGTTGACGACAGTAGCAGCTAAGTTAGAAAGGGATAAATGGAGTTAAAGTGTTCTAAGAATCTTGAATTGTCTGCGAAAATGGAAAATTCCAAAATTTGTTATTTTTGTTAAGTGCTGTCAAGTCGGCTCTGACTCACAGCTACCCTGTGCACAACACAGTGAAACACTGCCCAGTCCTGAATCATCCCTACGATTGTTGATATGTTTGAGCCCACTGTTGCTGGTACTATGTCAGTCCATCTCATTGGGGGTCTAACTCTTTTTCCCTGACCTTCAACTTTAACAAGCATGACATCCCTTTCCAGTTACTGGTCCCTCCTGGTAACATCTCCAAAGTACGTGAGACAAAGTCTCACCATCTTTTCCTCTAAGGAGAATTCTGGTTGTACTTCTTCCAAGACAAATTTGTTTGTTCTTCTGGCACTACATGAGACTTTCAATATTCCTTGCCCAAATCATAATTCAATTCCATCAATTCTTCTCCAGTCTTCCTTATTCATTGTTCAGGTTTCATATACATAGGAAGCACCTGAAAATACCATGGTTTAGGCCAGACACACCTTAGTCTCAATGTGATATCTTTGCTCTTGAACACTTTAAGGTGGACTTTTGTAAGCACATTTGCCCAATACAACACATCATTTGATTTCTTGACTGCTGTTTCCATGAGCATTGATTGTGGATCAAAGTGAAATGAAATCGTTGACAACTTAAGTCCTTTCTTCACTTTAACATAATGTTTACTGGTCTTTTTGCTTTCTTTATATTGAGTTGTAATCCATACTGAAATCTATGTTCTTTGATCTTCATCAGCAAGTGCTTCAAGTCCTCTTCGATTTCAGCCAGTAAAGGTTGTTGTCTGCATACTGCAGGTTGTTAACGAACTTTCCTCCAATCTTGATGCCACATTGTTTTCCATATAGTCCAGTTTCTTGGATTATTTGCTCAGTTTACAGAATGAATAAGTACAATGAACGGATCCAACCTTTCCTGGTTTTAAACCATTCAATCTCCCCTTGTTCTATTAGTACAACTGCCTCTTACTCTACATGCAGGCTCTACAGGAGCACAATTAAGTGTTCTGGACTACCATTCGTTGCAATGTTATCCGTAGTTTGTTATGATCCACGCAGTCAAATGCCTTTGTCTAGTCAACAAAACACAAGTAAAGATGTTTCGCTGCTGATGTCAACAGCGATATCCTTCTTTTCGTGTCCTCTTCTGAATCCAGCTTGAATTTGTAGCAGCTTCCTGTCGATGTACAACAATTTTTAAATTGTCTTCAGAAAAATTTTACTTGCATGTGATATTAACAATTGTTAAGTGCCATGGAGTCGGTTTCAACTTCTAACAACCCTGTATAGGGTTTCCAGGGCTTTAAATCTTTTGTGGGAGCAGAAAGCTTTATCTTTCACCCAAGAAGCAGCTGGTGGGCTCGAACTGCCAATGCAGTAGTTTGAAGTCCTGTGCTTAGCCCATGGAGCCACCATACTATCTGATATAAGCAATATTGTTCAATAATTTTCACATTCTGTTGTTGGTGGTTGTGTGCCCTGGAGTTGGTTCCAACTCATAGCGATCCTGTATAGGGTTTCTGAGGCTGTAAATCTTTATGGGAGCAGAAAGCCTCATCTTTTTCCTGTGGAACAGCTGGTAGTTTCAAACTGCTGACCTTGAGATTAGCAGTCCGACTCATAACCACTACCAGTGGTTATGTAGTGCTCCTATGGGTCACCTTTGGAATGTCCATAATTATCGATCTGTCTCTTCTAGTCAATTGTCCAAGAGCAGTCTTCCAAATTTCTTGGCATAGACTAGTGAGTGCTTCCAACTCTGCGTCAGTTCCTTGAAACATTTCAGTTGCTATTCCATCAATTCCTGGAGCCTTGTTTTTTGCTAATGCCATCAGTGCAGTTTGGACTTCTTCCTTTAATACCTTTGGTTCTTGATTATATGCCCCCTGAAAAGGTTGAACATTGACTAATACTTTTTGGTACAGGGACTCTGTGTGTTATTTACATCTTCTTTTGATGTTTCCTGCATCTTTCAACATTTTGCCCATAGAATCCTTAAGTATTGCAAGTCAATGTTTTAAGTTTTCCTTCAGTCCTCTTAGCTTTAAAAATGCTAAGCACGTTCATCCCTTTTTATTTTCTAAATCCAGTTCTTTGCACATTTCATGTCAACACTTCTTCTCAAGATGTCCTTTGACATTTTTGGATTAGTTCTTCTACTTAATTTCTCCCATTCACTTTAGATACTCTTATGTTCAAAAGCAAATTATTGCTAGAAAAACACAGAGACACCATTAGTAAACAAAAATATAAAAATGTGAAGGTGTTGTTTCTAGATACAGTTCCATTTAGGTGTGCACATTTGTTAAGGTAGTGCATCTATCTGTGTAATCTGTGCTCTCTGATTTACACCATGTCAAAATGGCAGTTTTGGGGCATCCTCAAGGGACTGAAATCATGTTCCTTTTAAATGTTGTTTGAGTTTGAGGGACAAAGAGAAGTCTGAAGGGGCATGGGCAGGACTGTAGGGTAAGATTTCCCAAAGAAATTCCATAGGACAGCTTTTGCTACTCTTGACAAGTGAACAAGGGTGCACTGCTGTGATGGAAAAAGAAATCCTTGGTGTAACTTTGCTGGTCTTTTTCTCACCAATGAAGTTTTCAATGTTCTTAAAGCTGCTTCCTCAGAAGCCCTGGAATTGTTCTGTGTCTTTTGAGAAACTATCAAGATTATTCCTTTGGAACACCAGACACCAGTTGCCTTAACCTTTTGAGTTGACCTGCCTTGAATTGTACTGGCCCAGTACATCCCTTCAGAAATCACTGTTTTGTTTGGACCTTTTTTTAAAAGATACCCTAACAAAATAAAGATGAGTCTATTGCTAAGAGAATATTTCTGCAGCCATCCACTGATTGCAGAGACATGTTTAAACACGTTTTACTTGGAATAAATCCGTGCATGGATGAACTGGAACGCTAGTAGCAATACTATTTTACTTACTCTTGTATGTCCTGTAAATTGGTGGTTAAAGCTAGAGACTTACTAAGATTCTGTTTTATTATATTATTATTATTAGGCAAGAGTCCTTCTTGGATAATGTTATGGACTTCCACCTTGATGTGCATTAACACCTGGTTGGTTTACTATAATGTTAGCAGTTTTTTATGATCATTGCCTAAATCCATTCATTTGTTTAGATTGCAAGACGGTGATAATCTAATCCCATCATTAGTTCTTTGTTTATTAGCTGGGAAACTTCTATAAGGAGACACTTCCCTTATCATTGAATTTGTGTGTGTGTGTGTGTGTGTGTGTGTGTGTACGGCTACTCAGATCATAAAAGAAAAGGCAGGATAAAATTTTGCTTATTTCCCTTTATTTACCAGTTTTCAAAATAAATGAGTTGTTTCTTGCTTGGACATCTTCCAAAAGTAACCACCTTTCGTCTGTTTTAGTTGCTGTTAAGTGCCATTGAGTGGGTTTGATTCATAGCGGCCCTACGTACAACAGAATGTCCCATTGCCCAGTCCTGCGCCAACCTCACAATGGCTGCTTGCTTGAGCCCATTGTTGCTGCCACTGTGCTGACCCATCTCGTTGCGGTCTCTCTCTTTTTTGCTGTCCCTCTACTTTACCAAGCATGATGGCCTTCTCCAGGGACTGGTCTCTCCTGATAATATGTCCTTAGTATGAGTGATGAAGCTTGGCCATCCTGGCTTCTAAGGAGCATTCTGGCTGGACTTCTTTCAACACAGGTTTGTTTGTTCTGGAAGTCCATGGAACCTTTACTATTCTCCTCCAACACCATAACTCAAATGCATCAGTTCTTCTACTGTCTTTCTTATTCACTGTCCAACTTTCACATGCATATGATGCTACTGAAAATAGTACTATTATAAAATCATGCCTTAGATACTGAATCAACCACACACACATATGAGGGGCCTTCAAAAAGTTCATGGAAGAATGGAATTAACAGATAAAGGAATATATATGTGAATGTGTATATCACAAACATATATGCATATTTGTTGTTACTAAGAACTGTCTAGTTGGTCCCAACTCATAGCAACCCTGTATAGGAGTTGTTGATGCATTAGAACTGCCAATTTTACAGCGTCACACCAGGACTCCATATATGCATATATTTATCAATCTATACTGAGTCCTGGTGTGGTACTGCAGGATAATGCATTGGACCGCAAGGTTGGCAGTTCAAACTCACCAGCCACTCCTTGGAAACCCTATACAGGGTCACTATGAGTTGGAACTGACTCAACAGCACCTAACAAGAACAACATCAATATATGCATCCTATATGTGTGTGTGTGTGTGTGTGTGTTTGTATATAAAAATAAAATGTCTTATTAGTTTATACTGATCTTAACACTTCAAATTCTCAAATACCATTATTGTTGGGTGCCATCAAATCGGTAGCGACTCATGGCAACCATGCACAACAGAACAAAACACTGCCTGGTCTTGAATATTGGTTTCCATTTAACCATCGTACCAAAAACCTCAAGTCTCAGTGACCTCAACTCATTTATCCCGCAATACAAACATAATCTTAGGATAACAGTACAATTACCCAAAACAGGCTTTTCGTTGTTTGC